GCCTGCGGGTTGGGTGCAGAGAGTGGCTTTTACCCTGAGAGCCTGGAAGAGCAAACATTACAAAACAGGATTCAAAAATCAGAGCATATGGAATCTGAACAGCCATTGACAGCCACACCTACACAAGCTCCCATACCACATCTGTTGTCTGGGCAAGCACAATCAGCCTTAGCCCCAAAGAAATGCCAAAGCTCAAAGGCATTCTTGATTTGGGCTGTAATCCTCCAAACCTGGACATTGCCAAAAATTGGAGGACTACAGTCAGGTCCAGCTCCCTTTCACCCTCCTAAATGTAGCTTCACTTTGAGTCACTATTTCCCTAATACGTCCTTCCCTTTTCTAACTGTGGCAACACCACTGGAGCAGCGTCTCCTCTACTGATGATCTTGCCAAACCCTACCCATTCTTTGGGGCTCAGGTGATGGTCAGCCCCGTTCTCCCAGAAGCAGTTTGTGATTTTTTGTGCCCAGAATGGTCTTCTCCCTACTCTGACTCTACACATTGTCCCACTTAGCCCACCTGCCTACACCACCATCTAGAGGCACGCAGGACCCACGAATTTCACTTCCATGCTGCAACCTGGCACTTCACTCTTGCCTGTAGTTAAATTCAGTAAAATATCCACTGACTCTGCTCCAGGCATTTAAGATACAGAAATGATTAAATCCCAGCCCTGCTTTTGTGGGACCCACAAGCTAAATGAGAAAGGACAACACCAAATAAAATTCTACAAATAAATTTGTCATAATAGAGTACACGATTGGATCCAAAACAGTGCAGCCCTATCACCCTATTTACAGCCTTCAAATCATTTAGCTTAATCTGTGGCCATTGTTTGTTCATTTATTTGCAGTCAGCCCATCCCTGGTAGGAGACACTAGCATAGGGATGTTGTCTGTCTGGTTCACCACTGTCCCCAGCACTCCAGATGGACTCGAGCACAGACACTCTCATTGAAAGCTGTATTTGTGGAAGGAAGTAAAGAGAGAGGCAGGCAAGTGTCATGAACTATAAGAACCAAGCCCAGCTTGAGGTTCAGGCAATGCTTCCGTGACAGGGAGCCCGCTATGATCTGAAGTGTGAGTGAGGGCCAAACAGAGGGTGTGAGGCCCAATCCAGAAGAGGAACAGCATGAGCTAAGGTAAGAATGGCAAATCAGCATGACCAAGGGAGTGGGGGCAGAGCCCTTAAATATTGCTATAGACCAGCAGCTCTTAAAAGGGGATGATTTTGCCCCCTGGGGGCACTTGGCAATGCAAGGAGACTTTTTAAACTGTTTTTTATTTGTTTTTGTTTTTAGAGACAGGGTATCACTCTGACACCCAGGCTGGAATGTGGAGTGCAGTGGCACGATCTCAGTGCACTGCAACCTCCACCTCCTGGGTTCCAACAATTCTCATGCATCAGCCCCTGGTGTAGCTGGGATTACAGGCACACACCACCATGCCGGGCTAATTTTTATATTTTTAGTAGACACAGAGTTTCATCATCTTGGCCAGGCTAATCTCAAAACTCCTGACCTCAAGTGATCTGCTGGCCTCAGCCTCCCAAAGTTCTGGGATTACAGGAGTAAGCCACCACACCCAGCTGACTTTTTAAATTGTTAAGACTTAGGACAGGAAATGCTGCTAGCATCTACTAGGTAGAGTCCAGGGATGCTGCTAAGCATTGTACAATGTCCAGAGCAGCTCCCCACAACAGCCATCTGATCTAAAATGTCAGTAGTGACCAGGCACTGTAGCTCACACGTATAAACCCAGTGCTTTGGGAGGCTGAGGTTAGGCGTTCAAGACCAGCCTGGGTAATATAGTGAAATCCCATCTCTACAAAAAATTTAAAAATTAGCCAGGTATGGTGGTGCATGTCTGTAGTCCCTGCTACTCAAGAGGCTGAGACAGGAGGATCGTTTGAGCCCAGGAGTTCAAGGCTGCAGTGAGCTATGATTGTACCACTGTACTCCAGCCTGGGTAACAGAGCAAAACCCCATCACTAAAAAATAATAATATTTAAAATATAAAATGTGGCCAGGCATGGTGGCTCACGCCTGTAATCCCAGCTCTTTGAGAGGCCAAGGCGGGTGGATCACTTGAGACCAGGAGTTGGAGACCAGCCTAGCCAACATGGTGAAACCCCATCTCTACCAAATACAAAAATTGGCCAGGTGTGGTGGTGTATGCCTGTAATCCCAGCTACTTGGGAGGTTGAGACCAGAGAATTGTTTGAACCCAGGAGATGGAGAATTACAGTGAGCCGGGATTGTGCCACTGCACTCCAGCCTGGGCTATAGAGTGAGACTCTGTCTCAGTAAAATAAAATAAAAGGTCAGCTGGGCATGGTGGGCCATGCCGATAATCCCAGCAGTTTGGGAGGCCAAGCAGGGGGTGGATCAAATGTGGTCAGGGGTTCGAGACCAGCCTGGTAACATGGTAAAACCCCATTTCTACTAAAAATACAAAATTTAGCTGGGCATGGTGGCAGTCACATGTAATCCCAGCTACTCCAGAAGCTGAGGCAGGAGAATCACTTGAACCCAGGAGGTGGAGATTGCAGTGAGCAATCACGCCACCACACTCCAGCCTGGGCAACAGAGGGAGACTTCGTCTCAAAAAAAAAAAAAAAAAAAAAATGTCAGCAGTGCTGAGGTTTACCAGCCCAGCTGCAGACTAACATTCAAGGGATGGGTAGGTCAGAAAACATAAGCTTTCTTCTGAAGTTCATGCCTTCTAGTCACACCTAATATCTTCTTTTGATTAGAATTTGGACCAAAGTAGCATGTGCTTGCCACCTCCTGCAGCCTCCGAGAAAAGAAATAATTCAGCAAGGAGTGTGTAGAACCTGAGGACCCATATCAATGTCCGTCGCCTGCTGGATGTTCACAGGACTCACCATTTCTTCCATACATTCTAGGCCTCCAAACCACCCACCCCACATGCAAGGTGCTGAGCAGCAGACAGATGAGAAGATGAGAGGTGCTCACAGCACTGGTAGATGAACGGATAGTCAGATGGACAGAGGGTTGGACAGATTTGTCAGGATGGCAAAAGACTGAATCCTTGGTGCTCCCAGAGTGCGCGCCTGTGCTACATGTACTTTTCTGTGAGGGCAGAGTTGGCTCCAGCAACAACGCTCCTGCCTCCCGCGCTGTCGTGAGCTGTCGCGGAGAGCACTGAGAAAAGGTCATCTCCGCAGGGCTCTGGAGCCTCTGCAGGGAGTCAAGCAACTGGGCTTGACCTAGTGAAGCACAGGAGCCAGGAAGTCAGTGCAGACAAAGCCCCTTTGTCTAGAAGTAGCAACACATGGCTGGGCTGAGCCTGCCCTTGACAATGAAATCTGCGGCAGCTCCAACACTTGCTGGAGCCTGACCCTGTGTTCACGTTCTCATGCTGCCTCACCACGGCCCCTTTTCAGCTAAAAGTCTCTCAAATGTGTTTGCTTACTTTTACCCCTGGCAAATAATTTTATATTTCCAGTATTATCTGAAATTCTTGAATTTTAACTCTAAAAGGAAAAAAAAAAAATCACCTTTTTTTTTTTTTATAAAACATCCAGTAGTATTGTATTTCTAAAGAATAGATCCGAGACACTCACAAAGGCTACCTCCTATTACATCTCAAATTCCACTTGGTGACAAAGCTTCCCGAATTTCCTCGTCTCTGAAGTGGGCACGATACTACCCACATTACATTCTTACTAAGAATCATAAAAGGGGCTTATTTCAATAAGAAACGACTAGAAATGGATGCCATGGATGAAAATTCAATTTACATCTAACTTTTCACGGAAGTATCTGGTGGGTAGAGCAACAAAAGCCGAGAATTTCACCCCATGCAGGGCGGGATGCTCTTCCTAGTTCCAGACAAGCATGGGCCTTGTATCTTCTATATGCCTCTGTACAGAGCTGGGAGAAAGGAACAGGCGACCCTAGCAAATCAAAACGGAAACTGAGCTACATTTGTTACAATTTCACGCAAGATCTGCAACTTTCGAAAAATATTAGTACAGGCAGTACCCAACTTGGAAATGAACTGTCTTGAAAAAGTTAATTTATAAACAGACTGTTCAGAACCTGGAATGCAAAGTGTCTTTTATGTCCCAAAGGCTGATTGAATTTATAATCTATTTGGCATATTACATAAAGTAAAAATAGAAAACAAAACAAACAATGCTCTGATACCATTTTAAAAACACATAAAAATACTTAGAAAAACAAATATGCAGCCCATAATTCACCTTGACCCAAAGCCCACACATGAGCTGGGCACTGGACCCCTGCAGTCCAAGTTATAACTGAAATGGGGTCCTGAGAAACTGAATAGAGAAGAATTAGAAGAACCCCAGCCTCAGAAGGACAGGGGTTCTGGTAGGAGAATAAAGTAGTCAAGCATCTCTCAACAGGAAGAGAAGAGTCTGGTACCTACCCAGAATATATACTCTAGCACAGAAGTGCTTCTGGTCACATCTAGAAAGATATGGGTATGTGAAAGAACAGCACCCACTCCGCCTGCTACCAAAGCAGACAAAATGAGCTGCCACTGAAAACAAGTGAGCCAGACCCTTGGCACCGCCCTACCAGGAGGAGGAGGGATGGGAATTCCCAGCACGCTCTGCAGCAGCATGGACAGCCAGGGGTGCTCAGAGGCCAAAAGGAAGATGTTTCCGCAGCTGCCAACAGTCGGTGTGGGAGTGTCCAGGGGTTACCTGTGTTTTTGATGGACCTGGCTAGATCAAGAAGGAACTTCCTGAGCTTTGTGAACACTGTCCTACCTGATAAGGTTAATCAGATTTCTGGTATCTTCAGAGGGGAACAGGGGACAAGAAGATAGAGACCCTGGGAATGCCTTCCTCAACACAGCACGCTCACACCTTTACAGCAGAAAGGGCACTGAATTCCAGATTGTTGCTGAATACGATTCCTGGATCTCCTCCAAATACAAACATGATGTGAAACATTGAAATCAGGTTTGAAAACTCAGAAGATTTATTATTCATCCACTTTATACCTTCTTTAGTCCTCCAAATAAAGTGTCAGTCTCCAGCTCAAATTCCTGGTCCAGTTCCTCTTCATGTTCTGACAAAAAAGAAAAACAGCCTCCATTAGTCACAAAGCTAAACAAAACTGGGTTGGCTGAATAGCTGGAGCACTAAAAGAATTGGAATATGTCCTGGAAAAGCAGACGGTGGACTAAACTACAGGAACGGAAACATACCACATTCCTTGACCTTTCTTTCCAGTGTTCTGTGACCTAAGTTCCTGGAAATACATAGAGGCACTGATGGAAATTTGGCTTGTAATAAGGGTCACAAAAGGAAAGATCAACAGAGAAGAGTTTCCAACACAGGAAAACATGGGAAGGGTTACAGCAAATGTCCCAAGCACAGACGCTGTTAGAAATGCTGACACCAACTATGCACAAAACTATGCTGATCAGAGCTGCTATGATATAATGCTAACAAAATATCCTAAGATACTTATATAATGGTAATAAGCATGTTTATAAGTAAACCAGTTGATTTGAAACGAAAGATAAAATCTGCAAACACTGCTTGTACCAGACACAGTACAAGATACTAGGAATGAAATGGAACCACACTAGCGTGCCTTTTGTCCTCCTGGGGCTTACTGTGTACCGGGGAAGGTACACAAACACATAATAAGAAACTACGATAGTGCCGATGAGTGCCATGAAGCAGAAAGGAATGCTGTGGGGGCCGATGCTGAGGCTGCGCAATGTCCTGTAGGCAGCTGCATGGGTGTGAGCGCAGCTCAAGGGAATGCTCTAAGCTGGAGATACAAACTTAAGAGTTCTCAGTTAAGAGTAGGACAGAGCCATCAGAATGGCTGAGATTCACTCCTCCCCCACAAAAGGACAAAGAGTACATAGACAAGAATGGGGAAATATGAATGCTTATCAGATCAACCAAAGTATAAAAACCACAAACACCAAAAAGGAGCTACCCAGAAGGAAACACCGAGAGAGAGAGAGAGAGAGAGAGAGAGAGAGCTGTCACTAAAATACAATCATGAACTAATGCTGATTTCAGAGTAGGATTAAGGGGCAGATTTACACACATTAGATGCAAACAGCAACCCCAGCCTCAGACCACAAGCAACACTTAGGAAAAACAGAAAAGGGAGGCAGGCACACTGACCGAGGGCACACGGGGCACACCTCTAGGAGCTCCAGCCACGGTGCACTCCAAGTGGTCTGGGAGTGTCATGGAAGTGTGCGACTGCAGTAGGGCACTGGTCCTCTCTGCAACAGCTGCACACAGGACCACTGTGTGTGTGTGTGTGTGTGTGCACACCTATATGTGTGTTGCACTACACACAGACTCAAGTCCAAGGGAACAGTTGGTGAACAAATGACAAGTTATTGTGATCCAACAAAGAAATCCAACAAAGAATCTGAATTCATGAAGGCAAAGAGGGTAGAAAAACTTTCTGCCTCGTCCCTCTTCTGTTTTAGCCTTACTTCCCCACAAAGTGCAACCTTTAGAAATGTCAGAATTATCCGGGATTAAAATAAAGCAAAAACTTAAGCTCCTTTTTTGCTGCTGCTTTTTTAAGAGTTCATTCGAAAGCAGGGACATTTACACACTAACCTCAGATTTCCTGAGGCTGGAACATATCTCCCTCTAGTGGGAGAAAGGAACCCTATGCAGACAGGAGAATTATGATGAAATCCTGCCTAGGCTGTCCAGCAGAAATAGAGCATGAGCCACATTTAAAATGTTCAAGTTTCTTATAGCCACAAAGTTTAAAAAAAATGAAGTTAATTTTACTTTATTCTAACACATCCAAAATTGTGTATCAATATGAAATCAATCTGAAACAATTACATGAGTTATTTTACATTCTAATTCTTTATAATGCAATTTACAGGTCATCTTTATAGCACACCTCAATTTGGACTGACACATTTCAAATGCTCCCTGTCCAGATGCGGTTCACCATTACAGTACTGGACAGCATAGCTCTAGATGAAAAATCCTTCCTCTTATTTTAGAGAATTCACATAAATCACCCTTGTCTCATTTCTTGACACAAATGCTCCCTGACATAAACTTTAAATTATAACTTAAATCCATTCTTGACCCGTTTGGAACTCACTGTCTTCAGAATGTCTTAAGTTAGCTGAAAATCCCCAGCTGCAGAATGTAGTCGATACAGGAGAACCTGCGGCAGGGCATCTTTCTGCAAGCTGCAGTCACCCTCAGGATTTCTGATGATGCTTTCTGGTAACCGCCCTTTGGGTCATTCTGCCCACTGCCCAGATAGAGTGGATTTATCAAGACAGAGGAATTGCAATAGAGAAAGTTTAAATCACATAGAGCTGGCTGGATGGCAGATGGGAGTTTTATTATTACTCAGATCAGTCTCCTGAAAATTCGGAGACTGGGGCTTTTTAGGGGTAATTTGGCAGGTAGAGGGCTAGGGCTGATTGGTCAGGTGGGAGATGAAATCACAGGGAGTCAAAGCTACCCTGCTGTGCTCAGTTGGTTCCCGAGTGGGAGCCACAAGACCAAGTGAGCCAGTTTATCGAGCTGGGTGGCACCAGCTGATCCCTCCAATACAGGGTCTGCAAAATAGCCCGAGCACTAATCTTAGGTTTTACAATAGTGGTGTTATCCTTAGGAGCAATTGGGATGGTTTAGAATCTTGTGGACTCTAGCTGCATAATTCCTAAGCCATAATTTCTAATCTCATGACTAATTTATTAGTCCTATAGAGGCAGTTATATTTGTAATTTTTACACAGGCAGTTTTATTCTTAGGGAAGGACCTCAGACCTTAATTCTTTGAACACAACTGGAGTTTCTATCCTAACTCAAATACAGTCAGGCAAGAGCCTGCTGCAAACAGAAAGAAGCATTCTGTGCTTGGGAATTCTCTCCCTATCACACAGGACCATCGGGCAGAACCCGCTCTTTCTTCCAGTGCCCTGGTTCTATTTCCCAAAATTCAGTGCTCTACAAAACTGCCTGAGAGCATAGAAATGAAGCAATTTCTGCTGATGAGCCCCGATTACCACATCAGCTATTGGTTCTTCCCTCCTACAAAAGGATACATCAAAGCTCCATCCTACTACTGAGTGAGAGGATTTGCATTTTAATTGCTGCCAACGAGCTGTGGTGGTAAACCATTTACTTAAAACCTCTAACTAACCTACCCCTTTTCACTCCAGTATTTTGATGGCAAATTAATTCTGGGGTGGGGGTAATAAGAGGGCATAATCAGAAATGGAAGATCATGCACACACACACCCTAGTCTGACACAAGTCACTGCGAGGGAGCAGCATACTCAGTGATGACACACGCGCCCTGCTGTTTCTATGCATTGGAAAAATTCTAATCAGCTCCTACTAATTCTTTATTTCTCCAGGAAGCCATGAGTACAACAGACTATGGTAGCAATTGAGAACTGGACAACAGACTATGGTAGTAATTGAGAATTGGGTGTATATGTGCCACATTTTCCTCGTCCAGTCTATCATCAATGGGCATTTGGGTTGGTTCCAGGTCTTTGCTATTGTAAACAGTGCTGCAATGAACATACATGCGCATGTGTCTTTATAATAGAATGATTTATAATCCTTTGGCTATATACCCAGTAATGGGATTGCTGGGTCAAATGGAATTTCTATTTCTAGGTCCTTGAGGAATTGCCACACTGTCTTCCACAATGGTTGAACTAATTTACACTCTCATCAACAGTGTAAAAGTGTGCCTGTTTCTCCACATCCTCTCCAGCATCTGTTATCTCCAGATTTTTTAATGATCGCCATTCTAACTGGTGTGAGGGGGTATCTCAATGTGGTTTTGATTTGCGTTTCTCTAATAATCAGTGATGATGAGCATTTTTTCATATGTGTGTTGGCTCATGTATGTTTTCTTTTGAAAAGTGTCTGTTCATATCCTTTGCCCACTTTCAGATGGGTTTGTTTTTTTCTTGTAAATCTGTTTTAGTTCTTTGTAGATTCTGGATAGCAGCCCTTTGTCAGATGGATAGATTGCAAAAATTTTTTCCCATTCTGTTGGTTGCCAATTTACTCTAAAGATTGTTTCTTTTGCTGTACAGAAGCTCTGGAGTTTGATTAGGTCCCATTTGTCTATTTTGGCTTTTGTTGTCAATGCTTTTGGTGTTTTAGTCACGAAGTCCTTGCCTATGCCTATGTCCTCAATGGTTTTGCCTAGGTTTTCTTCTAGGGTTTTTACGGTATTAAGTCTTATGTTTAAGTCTTTAATCCATCTGAAGGAGGGCACAGAAAAGATGGGCTTCTAACGATAGGAGAATTTAGTGGTAAGCAACTCTTAAATATTCATCTGCAGATTATCCTACAGAAAGTGGGTGGATTTTCATGACACTATTGAGGCCTAGGGGCTCCTTCTTTCCTCTTCCAAACTCCACTTGAGAAATAAAGAAGTGATTTAGAAGTAAGCCAAGGAAAAGCAAATCAGATATGTCAATGGATGTAAAAGAAGACACTAAGTAAATGTTCTTTGAACCTCCCAAATAGGGCTGCTCATCTGCTACTCACCTGAGAAATTCTGAGTCTATGGGGCAGACCACCAGGTGTGCAATTTGCATGGGAAACTTCAGAGCTCCTGGAGGAAGCAGAAGCAGCCTGGACTGAAATGGAAACTCTCAAGCCAAGAGTGAGTCATAAGCTCTCCCCATGTTCAGTGTGTGGGGTCTGACATGGAGCACTGGCTAGGGAGCAGAAGGAATGAAGAGCTGTGAGTCTAACACTAGGGCTTGCCTGCAAATGCCCTCCAGCCCAGGCTCTGCCCCACTGCATTGTCTAAGGTTTATTAGAAGTCTTAAGAAAGCAGATTATCTGGAAGCTGACACACCCCTATGAAAGGATAAAAAAAAAAAAAAAAAAAAAAAAA